CTATTGCTGCAGGACACAACATTATCCGTGGTTAAGAGGATGCATTTAATATCCAAATAAGACAGGCCCTGTTGGGGCGGCCGGGCCATAGCTGTCCAGCTGACCACATCATTTTCCTCTTACCTCGCCACCCCTCATTTGATCCCAGCTTATCCCACCGCATCCCACCCGTCCCATCTGGCCCTGTCGCAATCCCCTCTCATCTCGCGACGCCCGCGGCGGGGCCTCATCACCCTCTAACAACCACACCAAACTCAGCGCGAATTGCAACAGGACGCGTGCCGGCGGCCGCGGCGTCTGCGGCGCCGGCGCGGCCATCTGCGGCGCGGGCCAGGTGACAGACGCGCCGCGACGGCCGCCGGTGGCCGTTATCACCCGGCAGAGCGGCGGTCGGCAGCTGCGCCCCGGCGCATGATTAGAGCGCGTGATTAGCGGAGAGCGGCCACCGCCGGCCGGCTACTGCAGCCACCGGCGCACGTGCGAGCCGGGGGCGCCTGCCGGCTGCCGCCGCCGACCGGCTACCGGGGAGCAGAGATGACCGATGGCGCTCCTCCGGTGTGCGCCCACTCAGTAGCGCTCAGCAGAAGGCGTGCTGAAAGGACGCTCTCGTCGGGAGGGAGAGTAATGCCCGTCACTCGCATCCTGACGTGCCGAGCGATTCGTGCTCGGGTGAGGCGTGCTGGTCGCATTTTCCTGAGCTCGATGCCTTCGCGGTAGCGTAATCTGGACATGTGATTCAGCGCGTATTTGCGGCATAGAGGTCGTTTTGCTGTGAAAGTATCCCTCCGGGTACCGAGTGACCACGCGGCCCGGACTGGCAGTCGTGTCCGACTTCGGGAGCAGGCATTCACCGCGCGGGAGCATTAGTTCAGCAACCACCGCAATTGGGGCTGGACGCCGCTACCTCTCTGATTGTGTGAGCGAGAGCACATGCCTTGCAAACCATGAGAACGCCGGCCGGAGACGGGCGGCGCGGCCAGCACTGCTGGCGGCGGCCGGCGCTGGCCAGAGCGCCGTCCGGCAGAGCGTTTCCGGGCCCAATTGGGCCGCGTGCAGCGTGAGAAGCGGCCGGTCCGTGCAACTTCCTGCGGTCGGTCTCCCACGCTCGGCGGACGGACGACGGGCGAGGGTCGTCTCGGCCCGGCGCGTCTCACAGCAGCAGCGGAGCGGGCGGCGAGCTGACGACACGCGCTGACCGGAGAGAAGGACCACAGGGCCGCTCTGGAGGAGCAGTGGCGAGTGGGACCTCCGGACCTCTGACCAGGGTCTCATGAGTCTGTGCTCTGCGGGAGGACCAGACCAGAAACGATCCATTATGAGGGTCTTCACTTCTGGTTTGTGAATGGATTCTCTAACCAGCCAGTCGAGTAGCCAGTTGGGGGCTGCTCTGGGTAGCGACTAGCGACCCGGGACGCTGTTGGAGCAGGCTCCCATTCCACATCCATGAGGCCGCCTGCCGTCTGCCGTCTGGTCGCCCCCCCCCCCCCCACCGGCCCTGACCTTGCCACAGCACGCGCCGGTCGCTGCGCCCTGCAGCGTTATCATCACCCCCCCCCCCCCGCCCCCAGTTGTCAATCAACTGAGCCTGGCCCGGATATCCCAGGAGCACATCCTTCCGTGGCACATCCTTCCGCAGCGGATCCTCCCCGCGAAATACCGTCTAAGACATAAAACCGCAGACACTGATACCAATGCAGAGACCAATCGCTGGCGCTACGTTTCGGGAACACGTTGCCGATCGTAAAAATAACAGCAGTGCCATGTGACTATCCACCATTCAGTTTTTTAACAATATTTTATCAGAGGCGTACCTACCAGTACTACCTACATAGGTAATGCTTTTTCGAGACCGCTTTGATATGGAAGCTGGACAGGATGCTTGCAATTGCGTATATAACAACTACAATAGTACATACCTACCAGCAGCGTAGGTAGTGTAGTTCTGACTGAAAAGATCAATTCCACCCAAAGTACCGCCCTTTGGCCCTCTCTGGTCGCGCCGCAATGGTCGTGGTAGACCGGTTCGCGCCACGATCGGCGCAGCGTGACGTGGCGCACGTGATGTGACGTGACCCCGGTCAGATGGCGCGAGCGGCGCTCTCTCAGATCTCCTCGACACGGCACGAGCGGTCACGGCCGGCGCCCGCTGCTCTCTCTCTCTCTCTCTCTCTCTCTCTCTCTCTCTCTCTCTCTCTCTCTCTCTCTCTCTCTCTCTCTCTCTCTCTCTCTCTCTCTCTCTCTCTCTCTCCCTCTCTTTCTCAATCGCTTGCTCTCTCGCTCAACTTTGAAGTAAGAACAGTCAGGAAAGGATCAAGCACTCGAGCAGGAACGGCGAGAGAGCAGTAGGAGGCCAGAGGAGAAGAGCTAGAGGGGGCGAGAGGGGCAAGAGTGGCGGGAGGAGGCCAGAGGAGAGGGGCGAGTCGCACTTCCGCCGGCCGTGGGGTCGCGTGACGCTACAATATCCGCTGCGCTCTGCCCACCGCCGGCACCGGGTGAGTCGCCAGATTAGCGTCTCCCAGCCAGCGCTGGAGAGTCCTGACTACCGCCCGAGTTGGGGCGCGGTCTGACTCAGCCAGGGGAAGAACGGGGCTCCGTGGGAGGATTGGGAATGGCCCAGTCCAGGAGCAGGCCGCACGAGATCAGCGCGGGTTTTGAGACATATCGAGGTCAGCTGAGGTGACGGCTAAGTACTCAAGGTCAATTGACTGCTGATGAGCTGGTAAATTCCACTGGGAAGCGGGACTTAACGTAAACCATGGACTTTTTCCAAACCGTTGCCACAATTACACATTCACGCGCCATTCGAAGAAATATTATAACTTTTCAGCTAATGAGTTGATGACGTCATTAATGTAGCCCCGTGCTGCGCTATGGCGCGCCACGCTCCACGCAGCCGGCCTGGGACACTGCTGGTTCCCTAGCCGAGCACGACTCCAGGGGCCAGCACTACATGGACCCGGATGCCATTACTGCTGAATGCATATCAGTGATTTACTGCAGCGCTCATACATCTTTCCCTTCTGACAGCGCCGTAATCTGTTACACATCATGGTGTGACCCGTGGAGCTCACAGGTAATAGAAACAATATGCAAGCATATATGCAATTTCCACCTATATCTGAAATGCTCGCTTATTGCTCTCCATATTATCGTCGTCAGTAATGAATATAAACACACCCGATATGTGTAAACGTGTTCAAAGTTCCGTCAAGGGTTTTCCATTCCTTCATTTAGAAACATCAGGTATTGGATGTTTCATGTTCGAAATGAATAGCGGCTTTGGCACGCGCCCCTGACTTCCATTAACAACTAGCGTAATTATAATATGCGGGTGGAATATTCCACCGCTTGTGAGACACGATTGTGGGAGGATTTCGTAACTCCAATAGGAAAACCAGAAATAATGCAACGTTGCTAGTCACAAGGTGCTCCAATAACAGTTACGCCCATGTGGGATGACCAGCCAGTGGCCAACTGCGCACAGTGGACTTGGACGTCTGAAAGGAATTCCCAAATCGTCTGACTCAGCAGCCTTTACTCATAGGACGGATTAATCTGCTTCCTACGCACGGAGCAGCTCTAGCGGTTCTGTGCTACGACCATCGCAGTGACCGCATCCCACTGCATCGAACGAATCGGAGGTGCAAGTGGCCGTTTTCACAACCGCTGAACTATTATTTTTCGTACGAATATGATGAACGCCGTTATTTCATTTATTGTTCCTCGGCTCAGAAGTCAGAACAAACATCGTGTTCCGTGTTCACCCTATCAATCTCCTCATAGCATTGCATTCGGTTCATAGGCGCGGGAGCCGGGGGGGGGGGCAGTGGGGGCAGCTTACCCGCCCCCAACTCTGGGGGCGTGGGGGCGATGCCCCCACAGCTTTGAGACGGAATACCACACTTTTTTGCAAATGTTTTCTTTTTTTGTTGAAAAAGCCAAGGGATGAAAAATAAGTGGCCTAAAACCGGTGAGAAAACTAAATTTGGGGGTACCCTAGGTTGATCTCTATTATGGTGTGCCCCCCCCCCCCCCAGTCTGAGCGTAGTTCCCGCGCCCCTGATTCGGTTAGTCTTTTTTCTATATCAGGTGACACAGATCGCAGGATGTTATCACACATTATATCACACCACATCACAATCACTCCACAGCACACCACATCACAGCATATCACACATCACATCATATCACATCACATCACACCACATCAAACCACCTCACATCACACCACACATCACAAATCACACATCACACCACATTTCATCCCATCACATCATAAATCACAAATCACACATCACACTACATTCCATCCCATCACACTACAGCACACCACTTCACATCACATCACATATCACTTCACATGACCCGCATCACACCACACCACCTTACATCACCCCACACATCACATCAGGGTGCACAACTGCAGTCAGTCACGTCTCTGCAGCGTCACCCGGTGCCCTTTGTTGAAGTCGCGGTATCGATCTGACCCTGCGCGCTCAGATTAATGTGACTCGGTGCACTCTGCGCATCGAAGGCGCCCACACCCGACAGTGGGCGTCTGGGGGCGCCTAGGGACCCATGGGCGTCCATCGGTGCCGCAGGTCAGCGGGTGCTTCTGGACGCCCGTGACGGAGTATCTGTAAAGGGACCGGGCCAATCTAAACAAAGGTGGTCTTCTGGGCTTTCTGCAAGATTCGAAGGCTTAGTTAGCTCACATTCACAACTATCCACTTGTGGAAAGTGAGCGTCCGAATCCGATGTGCCTAAAGGGCACGTGCTGAATGCTCACTCACTATAAATAGGGCATCTCTCCGATGGAGGTTATATATGGGTGGGGGCGGAGATCGTCAGCCGTCTCGTCAGTGTCGACGCGAGAGGTCGCTGCCCCCCCCCCCTCGACGGCCCCCATGTCGTCGTCGGCCGGGACAGGTGTGTTTGCAGCTGTGACGCCGCTGATGGGTATCTCATCTCGCTCCCTCTCTCTGTGTGTGTGTCGGCAGATGTCCAAGCGGAAGAGGTTGTCGCGGCACCCGCCGATGCGCCGGCCGGTTGGTCCGCCGCTCCGGGAGGTGACGGCTGACACGGCAGTGACCGCGCTGAAGGAGGTGACACCCGACGCGGCAGTGACAGGGGTGACACCGCTGAAGACGGTAGTGCTTATGAACGGCGCTGCCACCGCAGTGACCACGCCCAAACAGGCACCGAAACAGACCCCGAAGGGAGTGCCGCAGAAGGTGGTCACAGAAGAAAAACAGGACCAGCTCCAGCAAGCCCCTTCTAAACAAGCTCCAACAGTACCTGTGCCAGCGGCAGTAGCAATGCCGGTACCAGTAGCAGCAGCAGAAGCCACAGCAATACCGGTCACTTCGAATCCGGGAATAAAGCTAGCGAGCGAAGAAGCTGCTTGCAATAATCATTCATCACAAAACAAGACCACGGCAGCCAAGTCGGACGCAGATGACACGAAATGCAGCCCAATTACCGAACCTTCCCTGCAAGGAAGTAAGGATATTGCAGAGAAAATGCCGGCGTCCGAGCCAGCCAGGGCTGCATCCCCCACCCTCAAACCGCTCAAAGAACAGATGGACACCTCAGACGACCTCGTTGAAGAGCCGGAGGCTCCGGTCCCCTCACCAGGCGTCGGCACACAAACCGACGAGTCGTCCATGGCGCCCCTGATGACGTCAGACACCGTAATGACGTCACAAGACCAGCAGATGCAGCACGCGACAGCACCAGGTAGGTGACCTTTTGAGAATGTGTGTTTGCATGCTGTTTTAAAATTAATTGTCGGCTTCAAACTTAGTTTCCTTTCATCACCCGATATCAGATATGCATGCTGCTGATACCGGGGATATTTTGAGCATCAATCGCTTTTACCGCTCCCATCCATCTGCCGACTATCAGATCTGTAAACTGTGTGCCCGCTTTCCTGAACCGTTCTTCCCGATCGCTGTGTGCACGGACTGACCTGTACCTGCTAAGGCTGCAAATTGCGCCGAGAGTGGGATGGCAGAGCGGCATTATCCCGGAAGGGAAGGCACGTTTACCTGGGTGAGATGTTCTCAGACGATATCGGGAACACCAGCTGATCAGTCCGTGTCCCAGCAGTCCGTCTATCGGCACATCTGCGGGCATCAGGAAAACATTATGTAACAGGTCTCTGGACAAGGAAACGGTTCCCAGAGTTCCGTCCCGTGGGCTGTCTCCGCTGTGTTTACATTGCGCGAGTATTTATTCATCAACATCTGATGTCAATTAAGTCGATGGAGCAGGCATCTCCTACTAAGGGTCGCTTCCCCTGTCACCGACTGGTGAACAGGTTCGGTTTACATGTCGGTTCGAACCGTGTGCTGAGATGAACACGCTGGCATGTTCACCAGTCTCCGGGTAAATGAGTATCGCCTGCCCATCTCACAGCGCCGAGAGGCTGGCCACTGGACAAAGGACCGGGGGAGGGGGCGGGCAGGGCAGACGGAGCGGCCAAGTAAGCCACCCGGTACCCAGGTGCTCCCCCCCCCCCTCTCCCTCTCTCCCACTGGCCGCTCAGCACATGACGCCGTCAGGATCAAATGTGGCCCGGACGGCCCTCTCGTCACCGTGCAAAAACAGACGTTCGTGGAGTGAACGAGCCGCGCGACACGCCGGCGCACGGACCAGACAGATAGCGAGGGGAGGATGTAAAAAAGTACAAACACCTGGCCAGTAAGGAGATCAATAGACATGAAGCGTCCTGCGCAGATGGTGGGCGGTGCGGAGACACCTAGGGATGCGCCGCACCAGATGTGTCATTTCATATACTTATTCCAAGGGATGTGTCACACCAGACGCGTCTTTTCATCCACCTCATGAGTGGTGTATCACACCAATGTCCTTTCAGCCCAGCGTAACAAAATAACATACAGATGGCAGTAATCTATCAAATTACCTGCAGTAATTTCCCGTTCCGCAGTATATAACCTCTTGAAGCCTTTCCTTAACCAGGTTCCGTCAATAGGTGAAAGCGCGTTGAAAGAAGATCCAATTCAGCCAATTAAGTATTACTCTATGATCACCTCAAACTTCGAAAAAAAGGTAACAAAAAAGGACGATTACCAAATCGAACACAGGTTTTTGCAGATTACCCTAACCTGGATTCATTTACGGGTTCTTCTTATCTCGTTCCCTACCGACCCAACATCCATCCAACTGCACCTTCCTCCCCACCTCACCATCCCCATCAGAGCAGAGATCCCCCTCCCCTCTCCCCACGCAGCATCCGCACTCTCCCACCGTCCGCCGCGCCGGTCACGACACGACACTGACACCGTGGGAGTTCTGACACAGTCCGGTGACACTCGGCCGCGCCGACATTGTCACCGGTTCACCGGACGCACGCCGATGACACGCACACCATCGACACGCACGTCTCCGGGCTACCGGCGGGCGGCCCGGGCGGCAGCGCAGGGCTCTCAGCCGGCGGCGGCGGCGGCGGCGGTGGTGGTGACTGGTGTTGTTGTGGGGGTGATAGGTCCACGATAATGCGTCTATCTGCAACAATGACAGCTCTACACAGTTGTTTGGTAGTATTGGAAACAGCCTGCAGGTACAGTGGCGGTGGACCACCTTCAATTAGGGGGGGGGGGGGGCACTGCCTACTTTTGGTACTTACCATTCTTTCCATGAAACGCCCAATAGGGCTAATGTTAAAATGCCAAAATCAAAGGGGGGCACAGTGCCCCGGTGCCCTACCTCGTTCCGCCGCCTATGTGCAGGTAAATAAGCAAGCATATTGATCCGCAGCCCAGCAAAACTGAATTGAGACATGAAACACAAATGGATGGTGCAAACTTATTTAACTAGTTACCTAACCAAAACACGTCTCGAAAAGTCACCAACACACAGACTGGCCGAGCCCTTTCAACACTCTCTAAGAAGGCAACCGAGAGCACGCAGTGGTCGGATGCACTATTCCGGGGCAAAGGACTGGGGGAAGGACAATGGTCAATGTGCCCGATCGCAGCAAGAGGGGCCTCTTAGGGGCCAACCACGATCAACGCCGGCGTCGCGCCCACACATGTGACCAAAGTCCGAGTGTCTACTTGTCCGTAGGGGCGTCTGTTTTGCGACGGACAGACGAGAAGGTATGCACACAAGGAACACTGCATACCTACACACATAGTTTCGAGCAATAGACACGGTCCTTTGCCGACGTACAGTGCTCTGTGATTTGACAACTTTGCCGTGGTAACCATTTTTAAATATAGCTCAAAGTAGATTTCATTTTCTGTCCGCTATCAGGGTACGACTCTTCACTCTAATGACACACAGCCTGGCTACTTGTTCCGTGAAACGGAAGCCACATCGTTAACCGACTGTTGCTGCTACAAATATAGTTCAGTGTCCAGGGAAACAACCAAACAGTTCTAATGGCACGGGATATAATATCATAACGAAGCGGTCTAATGACGCTGAAATAATTACCAACATCTGCAGCCCTTTCATAGCTTTATTTTCAAAGTGCACTGCAGCTTCGTCTCAAATCTTATTATAGGTACACAGCATATTCAACAGGCGGATCACGAAAGGCGGTATTGAACGCTACGGAGGGCGTAATCTCAAAATGGTTGCTAATAGACCCCCCCCACACACACACACACACATACACACACAAAACGACTCCAGTTCCAGGACGGGGAGCATGCACCACGAAAACACCCTTGATCCAGCAGTGACTTATGTACAATTACATGCATAAACCTCTCGGAATCTCAACATGTTCACTGTACAATGTACAAGACACGTTTAAATATATAATGCACTGTTCATTGTTCATTTCGGCAGCTCCCAGGGTAGATCCAGTCGAGACTGCAGCCACCTAACTTCTGGGACATCGCGCCGCGCTACCGCATGTTACCAGCCAGCAGTGCGGGCGGCGGTGCGGATTAGGTTCGTCTCACTATAAACGTCCCCTAAATTGCTGCCCTGCAAATACTACAGGTACGGACTATTCTGTGCAGACCTGCTGACCAATCCGCTCAGCTTGCAGATCGACATGAACCAATTTATCCTCCACCTGTGTTGATTGAATCGAATCCAGCACTACGAATCCTTCAACCGACTGCAATCAGTTGCACTGTAACTAAATGTGCTCGATTTGAGGAAATATGCTACTGAATCAGTAGAATAACGCCGCGGGATTCAATCAATGGAATCGATTAGGCAATGTGCAACATGAGACTCATGTCATTGAATAACACCAGCAATTCAGTTTTAATGGAAATTGAAACTCTCACTGAAACTCACATATATAGTGGCGAAAATGTAATATTATCATTTATCTAAGCGTGATGTTATCCTCGTTCCCTTTTTTAAAATTCATAAGTTTGCTTATCTGAAGAAAGAGTACGATAAAGAGCGAAATGGTCATTTTGTTTCTTTTTCTTCGTAACATAATTAAGGTTTCCTATGCCAATAAATAGCCGGTTCATGCAGCTAGAATTACTAAGACATGGTCGATGTGGGAACCACGAAATAAACAATCGTGAAAAACGGCTCTAATTCGCACCTACTCATCAGTAAACAAGCTTCAGCTAACAACACCGTATAAACCGGATCAGGACGCCGGAGCCTTTCCCACCGGCCACTGTTGCGCAATGTTCTCTGCACCGTGCACTAGGACGGTGTGTCACTGTGTGTGTACAGGTGATCTCAGAATCAACAGGGACCGGTTATCGTCCGCCCATGGAGTGTCGTCTCCGATCCGGGACTGTACCGGTCCAGATAGGGCGCCTCTCGCGTCGCTCGGCACTGGGGGCCACGCCCCTGATAATGTAGCTAGCGGTAACGGAGGAGCGCGACCGTGCGGTGGTCTGCGGCTATAAACATACCTACCTGATCCTATGCTGAACTAGCGAAAAACATATACCCCCCTTTGGGTGCAAATTCACCTGGCTGAACAAGTAACATTGTTCTCTCCGGACAGGTCATTGATGGCCACACCATTATTGAACGTGACTAATACAATATCAACCATCCTAGTTTATAAATAAGCTAAGAGGCCTGCATCCGCTAAGATACATGATTCTCTGCGTAGGCCATGGGATCTTACCTACTATGAGAAATGGAAGTTCAAGCAGTACATTTATCGCATTTCCCAGAGGCTCCCACCCCACCGTCTAACATGTATTTCAGAAATAGCTGCTTCCTGTCGCACGCATCCTGTTTGGGTGCTATCACCGGACTGGCTGAAATCTGCCTTCCTGGCGGACCGGTGACCTGGGTGTTCCCAGCGCTCCTCTTCCTCAGTGGCACCTCCTTCTCGGTAATATGGGCTCGGCAGCTGTGAGCGAGATAGCGAGATAGCACAGCCGGTCTTCCTAGATCTCAGTATCGTCCCACATTATCCAAAGGCGCCAGCTTCAGAGAGAAGTTATCTACATACTTATACATGTCTGTCCAATGTTTATAGGCTAGGTGTTGCCTCCCGGGAACAAAGGGTACCTGGTTCAATACTGACCTTCAGCTAACCAAACCATTCATAGACCTAGCTCCATATGAAATGCCTTATTAATCAAATTTTTCTACAACGCTTCTTGACGTGTTATTCGGTCTCCTTTTTATAACGTTCTGGTCGTGTGTCGTATGCCGTCTTGTAATTACGATGCATTGTTTTTCTTAGCGGTTAGGATCACTTTACTAAGAACAAGTCTGTATCTGTTCCTTTATTCTGAGCACATCGTTCTCCCTGAATGAGGACGTTGGGCAGTATTATTTTGGGGAACCGGACAGTTAATAAAAAAATAAGCATGTGTCGTTCTCAAGTTGAAATTCATTATTGTATGACCCATTGACAATGTTGATGGCTGTTTAAAATTGGCTTCAGCGCAGCGAATACCTACCTAAACGAGATCATTGATTCACATGTTGAACTTGTAGGAAGGCAATCACCTTATCCAGTATCGCTGAATATATAGCGCACTATTTTCAACTTTCGACTGCGGGGTGCTGAGGTTTAGTTCAGCACAATGACTGGCAAAAGTAATGGGTCTTTTAAAATGTTCCCTGTGGTGCAGTTAGCTGTTCCAGTTGTTGCGTAACACGTCATTGAGACGCATGCATTGTGGTGGCCTGGTTGTAGCGTGATCGTGCTTTACAAACGTCCGACACGACTGTTCAAACATTCAGCTGAGCCCACAGGCTACATTTAATGGCACTGCTTCATGCTGGAGCAACTGTTGCTGGACTCATGACTGCTGTCCCCAGCACCACGATTTTAAGTGCTCACAAGCCGTAGCTGTCAAGAGCATCAAATACATTTTCAATATTCAGGTACACCAGCCTTCTTTGTTGCACTTTTCCTAAAGCGAATCTGATCGGTTGCATCGCCTTCGTCCACTGTATATGTAAAACAGCGCTCTGAATCAGCTAGGACAGCGGAACAGGACGCCATGGTGGTTCCCTGGCCAAATGTCAGCCCGGAGCGTACCGAGGTCATATCGCGAGGACATTTACCGCGCCGGCCGGCCACCCTCGCCGCCGCCGCCGCCGCCGCCGCCGCCACTTGGCCGATTGATCGCCGCCACAAGTGCTGCGCTATCTCCATTTCATTAGCGGTCCTCTGGGGAGCGCTCGCCGCCGCGCGTGTCGGCCGCCCGTCGCACGGCCAGCGTCGTAAACGACGCAGCGGCGGCGTCGCTGTCGACGCGGCCATCTGGACGTATTGATTGGCTCTCGACGACGGCGTCCGCGGCGGCCAGCCGCCAATCACGAGTCTCGGCCGGCCGACCGGAGGGAACTGGACGAGGAACGGAGGGGCAGGGAGCTGCCCTCAGACTGGCTGGAGGGAACTGAGGGTCGAAGGTGCAGGCTGCTGCCCTTAGACTGACTGGAGGGAACTGAGGGAGTGAGGGGCAGGGAGCTGCCCTCAGACTGGCTGGAGGGAACTGAGGGTATGAGGGACAGGGAGCTGCCCTCAGACTGACTGGAGGGAACTGAGGGACGGAGGGACGGAGCTGGCGAGGGACGGAGGGGCGGAGCTGGGCGCTGCCCTCAGGCTGACCGGTGGCATTAACTGAAGCTTATGCTCCATGACAATGCTCCGTTGCAAATGTTCGCATTATACCACATATTGCACACTGTGCTTACATTACATAAGTGATATGCAGTGTACACTGTAAATACTACGGAGAAGTAGAAGACAGCATTGATTTTCCGTGGAAGCCGGGCGTTAGTCATTAGTCGTTGTTTTTTAGTTTATTTACGGCACAAATTACTGACCGTTTCCTAAATAGCATGACGGAAAACAAATAATGATTACAACATATCGAGAGTTCTTGGAGTCAGGTCGTACAGCACTATAGTCTGAATCTATCTCCTTAATTTTTGGGACGTGTCTGAAGAAAAGTGGCTAGATTATAGTACGTTAAGGGCTGGTAGACCGTGAAATTTCCAGCGTCTTCCACTTGTGGTCGATGATTGTGGGGTGTGCCGGCGTGAGGCCATCGCTGTCGCCGCTGCTCAAGCCTGGAACATAGCTGACATGACAGACGGACTTATGTCAACACTGGCTGTCGTGGCTCACAAGCAGTCTGTTCTATTATTTGTCGGCAAACCGGGCACCGTGACGGTCCGACTTTTGCCAGAGGTCCGACATTGGACAGAGGTAGCCAGTCCGAAATTGGACAGAGGTAGACGGTCATAGATTGGACAGGTAGCCGTTCCGGCGCTGGTTTGCGTGCGTCGTTTGCGTATTCCCAGGTTGGCGGCGGTCGGCCCGGTCTCAGCCGCAGCGTCGGCCGTTGATGACCCATCCAGGCAGTGCACGCCGCGGGCCGGTCGCTCCAGAACCGCCCCATGAGAGTTGAACCACAAACGGTCCGTCGCCAGCGGTCCGCTCCGCCTCTGACCGACAGATGTGCGAACATGGCAGATAGCGCGTCTGGACAGGCGATCTCCATTCACAGCAATAAGCATATTGTTTGACTTATTCGTGGGACACGATGCACTTATGCAGAAAGCGTATGATTACGCGTCTGCACTTACAGTCGACGCACCGGGCAGCGGTTATCATAATTCACAGTTGCATAGTGTCACATAATTCATATGTTTTACTGATAGCAAAGCATGCGTGAATGCACCATGTTATTGGTGTGATTATCCACTTAAACGGCAGTGACTTGGTGCATTAACCGTTACATCGCTTCAACCGGAACTGCACCAAAGTGCCATCGCCTGGCCAAATAGTAAGAAATGCATAAAATCAACACACCCTCGGCCTCGGCCATATTCAGACTCCAGTTCCGTTCGATCAAGTCTATGAAACAGAGGAAGTTGGTCGTTATGCACCACTTTGCCTCGGGCAGTTCGCGGCAATGTCGACGGGAGGTGGTCGGACCGCCCGTGAGCTGTGGGAGCGGGGTGGCCCGCGCCGTCTCTGAATCGGCCGACTCTGCCTGACTCTGAGTCAGAGCAGGTGACTCAGCGGGTGGCGGATCGATCAATGCGGGTCTGAGCTGGTCGGGCGGGGCAGATCGTGTCGCCGTCGGCACTGCACAAATGCACGTGACTGACGTGTGCCGAAAGGGTCCATGGTGAGATAGATTGCGAGCTAACAGAGCGTCCGCCCTCTCAGACAAAAGTCGATCGAACTGGCAGGCGCGGACCGACCTGTTCCGATTGTTCAGCGGGACATTTTGTCAGTGCGCCGATGGAGACATCGGCTGGTGCCAATATCTAAGCAATTACAAAGTATCTTGGGTGGTGTCGGTGCGCCAGTGCAAGCTTTGAGCGTCAGATTTTAGTTGCGCGACACAAACTTTCTTCAATGCAAAATTGTTTTCATAGCTCTCGATTGCATCCAGCCCTGTCGGAATACCGAATCTAACAGCAGACCGTAGACACG